CCACACCCACACCCTTACTATCAGATCGTCTGAGAAAACAACTAAATTACCTAGTAGAAAGATAACTGTTCCACTGGTTAAAATCATAACTAATGGACTTTTATTCCTTTCTAGATAAATTCATATTGGTAAAGTTTTAATGGATTAAACGATGATCGTCAACGGTTCATTGAAATCTATAGATTATGGTAGCTGTTCTCACCCCCTTACCTTCAAAATTTTTGTGCATTTTAGTATAGAAATAATACAAGTATAGAAAACCCTACGACATGCTAAATATATAAAGAATGTATGTCTTCTTAGTGTTCACTTAAGTCTATAAAAACAAATTATATCCCAAAAGTTTCAGACATATATTTGGATGCCATATGGCGAGCTACTGGATAACCAACATAGTTTCTACCATGTGTGCCTTTTTGGTACCACTTGAGAATACTTTCATTGCTTAAGCATTGATTTTGTGTGAAGAATAGCAACAGGTGTGAAAATAGATTAACTGAAATGAGAGAAAAATAAACAAAAAGTTGATCAATATTGTCTACAATTGTATCTGAAACTATAGGAGGTGGGTGAGGGAGAAATTTTCAACTCGTCACGTGACGAGTTGAATAAACAGCAAAAATCAGACCTTTCGTAACACCAAAAATAGGGATATCCAGAAATACAGGGATGTCGTAACGAAATTTACAGAGCGATCGTAACGGGTACTTTGATATGTACCATTACAGAGCTTTCGCAACGAAGCAACAGGGATTTCGCAATGAGGATGAGGATGATAGCTGGACTTAGTTTGCAGAAACTACATGCTTTTCGTTACGAAAGCTCTGTAATGGTACATATCAAAGTACCCGTTACGATCACCCTGTAAAATTTGTTACAAAACCCCCGATTTTTTGTTATGAAAGCCCTGATCCTGTCGTTACGGAAGCTCTGTTACGGGCTTTCGTACGGTTAATTCCTTACGAAAGCCAGAAAACAAAAATCGTGACGAGTTGAAATTTTCCCGGGTGAGATACTAGTGTTCCACTCTCATTTATCTACCCATATTCATACTCATTCAACAATCATTCAGTAATTCTTGTTCTACGGAAAATTAATGGAAAAATTAAATTATTAAGCGTGAGAAAAAAGGAACTACCTGCATCTTTATCAACTGTGATATGTCCTTGAGAAGAGACGAACACTTGAATGCCAACAATCACCATGAATTCTCCATCGGGATGTTTTTTGGCCCAATATTTAATCATATCAATGTATCGTGATGTTATCATTTTACTTTCACGCTCATCAACAGATTTAATAAAAGACAAGACAAGAATAGCAATTTGTTCAGGAATGATGCTTTTTTTCTTCGTTAATATAAAGAAAGTCTAAAATAAAGTATGACATAAACGTAATTACTTTTTCGATATTTGTCGACTGCTAGTTTTTTTTTCATTCTCACTTGGAAAATTATCTCACCGGTAAAAGTTTTCCTACACATAATATAGCATGCTGCTAGCTTATTAAATATATCGCTCACACTGATGTCCTCTGTTGGATTTACCGAGAAAACATGGTCTATTACGAAGCTTATGCCAAATATCTCATCCTTATGACATAAGCATTAATCGAGAAAATTTCGAATGGACCTTATTTATTTTATGCAATTTTGTTTTTCTCTTCCTTCGCTTAGCTATTTCCTATCAAAGAAATCGATATTCGATCTTTTGATTATCCATCTTTGTCTATCTGTCGATTTTGTTAGAAAATAGAAGCAGAGTTGCAGAAAGGAGTTATCCGTGCTCCTTCAACTGACAAACACGACTACAAGATATAGTGATGACCTATATCATCAATATATATAATGTTTAGCGTCTGTCTGTGCTAGGTCAAGGGTCAGATGATGTTATAAGGGGAAGATCCCAAAGGCTATTATATGGAGCACTCATATGGGCTCAAGGGCTATCCTATAGGGGTACATAGATGCGCACAAGAGCCATCCTAGAAGGTAGCTATAGGTCCTCAAGGGCTATCTCACGAGGCATCCATAGGTCCCCAAGGGCTATATTATGAGATAGCTATAGATCCTCAAGGACTATCCTATGGGGGTGCGCATAGGTCTGCATGGTCTATGTTATGGGGGCGCTCACTGATCCCAAGGACTATTTTATAGGGTACTACAGGTCCTGAAGGCCTATTATAGCGGGTACCTATAATCCTCAAGGGTCGCTCTATGGAGATGTCCATATGTCCTCAAGGGGTATCATATGACAGTACCCATAGGCGCTGAAGGAATTAAGGAAAGAAGAAGTAAGGTAATAAGGGGAAGACAAAAAAGGTGATGAGGCAACAATGGGATAAGGCTACGAAATCTACAAGAGATAAAAGGCTATAAGGCCGAAAACTATATAGACTGGAAAATATATGCGATGTAAAATTATAAAGCCATAGAGGCTCTATGTACATAATATCAAATGTGTGCATGTCTGTACAGGTCAAACGTTAAAGTTTTGATATCATACGTTAGAGGAAAAAGCAGCCGTGTAGTATGGTTGGGTTCTTGCTACTTAGATATAATAGAGACCAAATTTAGAGCATTAATTTATAGCTTTTAGACACATCTCAATAATGAATGTTTTATTATAATCCAGATAATGCGATAATGATAGCTACCTTTAGATAATTCTTGACATCTTCTTGAGCCGCATTTGATGAAAATAGGCTAATAAGTTTTTGGCTAGGTTCAATCTTCTGAGGTTTTTTCGCTTGTGACTGTTGAGTTTTATTCGCATTTTGTGCGTTCCGCGCTAAACTTGATTGTTCTGCCCATCCTCCAATCCATTTATCTTTCGTTTTCAATGTGTCCGCTGCTGCATTTTCAAACAATGGAGAAAAACCAGCATGTTTTTCACCATTAGGAGTCGATGTTTGTATTGTTGATGGCTAAAATTGGAGAGAAAATATGATATGAAGTATATATGGGTATTTATGAGACTTACTTTCAACGCTTTAGACGAAACATTCCATCGTAATTGCCATATGTCTTGAGAAAGGGAATCGATCATTTGTTGTATAACGATCGCTTCATCATTATCTTCCGAATTCATAGTGATGTACTTTTGACAAGCTTCTATTGTCAGACGTTTGCGAACGTCTTCTTCGAGTCGCATCAACTGATTGTATCGCTCGTCTATGTTACTACATTGACTCATAAAGTGTTTTTCAATATCTTGTTTTTTTTTGTCGTCGCATTTCCTTGGCCTTTTCAAGCGTCTCATTACGACTTTTTTGGATTTTATCCAACGCAAGTTGAACTTGTTTAGTTAAATCGTTTATAGTTTGAGTGAGCTCGTTCATCAATGATGGTTCATGTTGTGTTTCTCTCGTGATACTTAGAATTGGTACCTTCACTGCATTATCACATACGTTGTTCATTTGATTTTTGTGTGTACTTCAACAAAAAACTACGTATCTTATTATCTTTTTTTATAGTCAAATATGTGCAGAAATGAAAAATAGCTGAGGTCATTAAAAGAACATGTAAACTTTACCAATGGTCACAAAAACTAATCAATAGCTATTTGTTCAAACAAGAAAGAGGTTTGTTTTTCGATAGTATAAATATTCTATATAACTCCTCACAATTTATATGTAAAGTGTAAAAACAAATTAAAAAGAAAGAACATATGAATGTAAAATCAATTAATTACTTAACTTAATTAACGCCCAACTAAATGGAACATAGGCGACGGAAGCTGGAGGCTGGGTGAGGCATGAGCCTCACCAGAATTTGGTGTCTGGAGGCTCAGCCTTACCTAAATTATGAATACGATATTTTTTTGCACGATGGTTTAGACTTATCAAATGAATATTATTTCAGTGCGAAGTTTCGAACTTCTGATATATTTATTTATATGTTGTGATCATAGGCGGCGGAAGGTATAGGCTTGATAGGCTTGAGCCTCACCAGAAATGGGCACTATTAAGCTGAGCCTCACCAGAATTAGAATTTCAAGGATGGGTCAAATTCGAATCTGATATTATTTGGCTAGATCAACTTTATATTAGTTAAGATATTGAAACCTTTTATGCGTTTATCTATATATAACGATGAAGCAAACTTGAAAAACGAGAGGGTACTAAAGCCTACTATCTATGCCGTCATAATTCGTCACAACATCTTTGTTTTATTCACATAAAGTGTTGTACAAACCAAAACGATTATAGAATAATGCAGTCAATGTCAGAACTATTTGTATTCAAGCGTTTGTCTTCATCTTCGTGATGTATCATTCATTTCTCTATATTGAGTGAAAGCACAGTTCTAATAGAGTGTGGATGTGGACACAGGGGAAATAACAGATTCCGGGATTCCTGGGTTCCATATGATTCCGAGGAACTCCAAGATATTTTCAAGATCTAAAAAACGGTAGAATTATTTGAGAATCCTTCAGTCTCTTTTATCATACGAATGTTTCCTGTTCCATGCTCTATGATGGACAGTGAACGACCACGGTACTACTATAGAATGTGACGTAAGCATTCACACAAGCAGTGTGCATAGTACTTAGTAATTTCGATCTTAAAAAAAGGATTATCAGACTACTGTCAATAGCTTGTATTTTAGGTTGATAATCAAATTGAAAAAGATAAATGTTAATGGAAACAAAAATAAAAACAAAACCTATAATTATTCAACAGCTGAAACCTGTGAAACAACAATAAGTAAATCAGTTAGTAATGGTGTGGGTGTGTGGGTGTGAAAGCAAAATCAACGATCCACACCCACACCCACACAGTGGACAGCCAGGCGACAAAATCAATTTTCGAGATTCGAATCCATATCGTAGCTAGCATTGAAGCTACCATGGTCCTGATTTAAGAGAATCTTGGATGTCACTCTATAGCGAGTATGCATTAAATATCAGGTACCACAAAGTACGTAAAATAGGTGAATATCATTAATTAGACCATATAAGTAAAATTTATATTTTAAATTGATGATCTACTTATATTTTGTAGTCATCAAATACTTGTATAGTTTTATGTATTTACTATATATTACAGACCGTCCGGACTTCTTGAAGCTCTTTAGGCTATAATAAGATCAAAAACTTCCAATCAGTATGGTGAAAAATAGTCACTGATCCATAATGCAGTTCATTTGCTGGATTTTGTCGGAGTTTAAATGGAAGTTTTAATCTATCTTTTGATAGAACGTATCATCATCTATCTTCAATAGATCCTCAAAGATGCGCCATTGAACCCTTGTCGAGATTTTTTATTTTTATGACATTTAGTACACCGTCATGGTCTCCCTCAAGCTCACTGAAAAATCGACTTTCGAATTTCGACTTGAAACTTTGAGCAGAGAAAGGTCTCAATAAGACTGGTTTATTCTGAAATTCTGAAATTTCTTGGTTGCTCCTATCTTTAAATATGAACACTTAACATTTTGTGCTTTAAGTAATGTGAAAAAAAGTACTTCTTCTCACACTCGTATCTCAAGAGAGAAGGAACCCAAAAATCTGAAACCATCAGAATAAACTAGTCTGATTGAAACCCTTCTCTGCACAAGCTTTCAAATCGAAATTTGAAAGTTGATTTTCCAAGTAAATCTGACAAAGACCACGGTGTTGTGCTGAAAATTGCTGTAAAAATCAAATATCTTGATAGAAATAAGCAAGAAGCACGAGTCTTTTTCAGAGTGTTCATAGCTCATTAGAGCCTACATAATGCACATAGTCTCGACCCAATAGCGATTTGGCACCTGACAATTGCTTCTGATCCCTTTTTTCTATCCAACGTGATGCACACCCTCCAGATAGCTGCGACCCATCTCCTCAATTATTTCTATCCTATCTGATATAATGATCGACAAAAAAAAATTAAGAAATAACTGTTTATAATTTTTATAAAGGGCTTTTGCAGGGAAACCAAAAATATTTCGGCATTCCATGGGACTTCAAGGGTTCCATGAGGTTGCAAGGGATTCCAAAGAGTTGAAATCTGCCGTTTTCCCTTTGGGGTGTTGGTGTGGATGTCGAAGAAGAAAACAAAATAAACCAAAGCCAACATCCGCCCACATCCACACCATTTCGTCAACGAAGACATTGATAGAAGAAAAAAGTTACTTAGGATAATAAAAAAAAGTTTTTTACTGAGCCTTACCTGATTTGGAAACGTTCCGCCGCCCCTGAAATGGAATACTATTTATTTTCTCTACCGTCAGACATGCACTGAATCCAAAGATTAGTGATTTTCAGTTTATTGAGAGAAGGAAATCGAAATTAGACGAAACAAATGAGTTTCTAGATATTTGTTATTAGTATATACAGAATCAAATAGACAACCCGAAAACTGAACAGTGCATAAAGATGAAGATGAGCGAGGATAAGTAAAGTGTGTAAGTTTGATTCACCGGCCATATTCACACTCATATCCTCAACTAAAATAAGCCAAGCTTTAGAATTATAACTCCCATTAGTACAATGGGTTCTGATATTTTAAGTTTCCGTTTAAATTTCATAGACTAAATTTAAATAGTATAATCATACGTACTGGTAGCTAATATCCACCAAAAATCCAAGTAGACGAAGGAAAACTAAATATTAAGTTTGTGAATCTAAACAAATACGAAAAATTAAATTAAACATGAAGAAGCGCAATGTTTTTTATCTCCTTCAATCTAGTAATTCTCAATGCACAGATCGTCTTTTGTTCGTAATAAAAAAAAAGTCAGTCACAAACTATATATAAACAGTCGAGAAACGCACGTTTTTACCTTTCCTCTACTACAAGAATCGCTGATATATAAATCATTTTTTTAGTCTAATAAAAAAAGCAGGTCAATAAAGAAAAGAAATCACAGATGAAGTCTTTATTTATCTTTCTCACGACTTTTATTGGATGCAATTAGTAGGTGACGACGAAAAAAAACGAACATATATGATTCACTTCTTTTACTCTATCCAAAGACGTACACGCACACATAACTCGTTACACAGTTGGAAATTTCATACAATCGACATAGACTTTAATGAAGGGTGAAGGTGAGGGTGTGTGGGCGAGTCAAGCAAACTACGCCGCGTTTCGATCCTTACTGAAGGGCTCTTCGTCAGGCAGCTTCGACTTTATCACTAGTGGGAATTATAGTAGTTTTTGTTCCATTTTTGTGGTATTTCTTCGTATGAGGAGAATTATATATTCGTGCCATGCGATATGTGTATCGGATTGAACCTAGGGTGTGGGTATGGGATGTGGGTGTTAGTGTGCGTGTGGGAGTGGGAGTGTGAGTGTGGAAGTCGGCTAATCCTCTCTTCATTCGAATCCACACTCCACATCCCACACCTACACCCACACCCACGTGAAATGTTGCATGCGATGGTCTCGTAAGATCTCTCTATAAATTTTGAATGTCTTTGCTGAACTTGATCTCAGATTCGACAAGTCAAACGTCATCATTGTAACAACCGAGCATAATGTGTAAGTTGTTGCTTCTCCTCGATTGAAACAAGTGCGATGCGCTTCTCTATCTATTACCTATCTACACTTCTATTACTAGTTTGTCCTTGTCTCGTGCATAATAGAGATAGCCGCAATACCCTTTCCTGTTCGTTCTTCTTCTATTTGTACTTTGGAATGTCACGCTTAATGTATCCTCGCCTCGTACATAGTGTTATCCATAAAAGGAATAACCACAACATCTTTTCTATCCGCTACGCTTATCTCTCGTACCTGTACTTTGGAACCATACTCTCGACGTGTCGTTCTTTCATAGTGTTAACCATAATCGTTCTAACCTTTGTATTTGTCCTTAAATCCATATTTTTTCTGTATTGTGTTTACTGTATTCTTCAAGGTCCTTCTGTGCTAAGAAATAGTATATAAGGAGCGGGAAAAATACAGTAGACGCACGATTTTACTTACACTAATAAAGTATTAGGATAACAGCTCTCGAGCTGTGCCTACTCTATCTAAAATCGTCACAACCATCCCTCATGATACTTTTTCTGGTATCTCCACACAGAGACTTTAGTTTTCACGATGAATCGTATCATGTTCTTTATGAGCACTGGTTTAAAAATTCCAAAAGCATTTATTTTTCTCATCTTTAATGGTGTGGGTGTGGGTGTGGGGGGGGGGGTGAGGGTGTGGGTGGATGAACTTGACGGTGCTCAGTTAAATCTTACCTAGACACCCACACCCACACTCACACCCACACCCACACCCACACCCACTCACACCCACACCCACACCCACACACCCACACCCACACCCACATTCCATCCTTGTAAATACTCTTCGTTTGTCTTGTCGTCAAGTTTTCTGTGCTTCAGATAAGCTGAAGTAAGTGTGTGTAAGTGATACCATCGCATCCACGTCCTGCTTCGTATCAAGCCAGACAATTGCTTTCCCACATAATAATCAAAATGACAAAATGTACCTTTAAAAAAAGTAACTGTCGAAATGTATATTAAGCCGTTTGTGGCTGAGATTACTTTTTAAACAAGTTTTTCAAAACGATGAAACGACGGGTGTTGGTGTGAACCTTGCTCTTCTGTTAATCGACATCCACATTCATATACCCAAGCAAGATTCACAACATCTTTTATATATATATATATATATACGGTTTTTATAGGCATATATTAGTTCTGTTCTCCATGTAGTCACACGTAGAAAAATGCCACGAGTATATTGACTACCTCCACTTTCAGAATGAGACAAAAGAAGGAGAGAATCAAATCGATTTGTGAGTCGTTTTTTTAATTTTGTATTCAACGCCATTAACTTAAGACAAGAGAAAAGAGCAACCAATAAAAAACCTTACACGTGATACTTTATCAAAAGAAAAAAAAATATTACAGAAGCTATCGGTAGAAATCCGAAGCATGTTCGTCTACGTTTTATCGAAGACATTCAAAAAATAAAAGAATAAAACACAAAAAGAAACACAAAATTGTTGTTTTCCAATAGCTCTGACCATGGAAGCGTCTTTATACGAGGCCATTCATGACGAGGTATCTCTGGATAAGGTTTCAGACTTAATTAAGCGTGATGTTGATTGTAATTTATCACATTTTGATTCAAACACTTTAAATTTTATTTCACCGATTCAGTTTGCTGCTAGAACAAGTGTTTACAAATATGGTGCACTTCGTCTTCTTTATAGAAACCGTAATAGTCCAACGAAAATGCAAATTGAAAAACATTTATCATTCTATTTCAATTATTATGATTCAACAAACAACGAAAGCAATCATTTATTTTTTGAATTCACTATTTCTCGACTTCTTCATGCACGTATTGGTAAATATCTACCTGGAGATATGGATGTTATTAATGTAGCCCTTTGGAATTACGACAAGGTATTATTATATGGACGAAAATTAAATATTGGATTGCTGTATGATGAATTTCTTAAAGTGCGTATATATACGTTGTTTCGATGGTTAGCCAAGATGAGAGCCGAGACTTCATCGATACATTATTCTGCATCATACGCTATTATTGAAAATGAATTATTACATCACTTAGAGGCCTATTATCTTCTACATGATGTTGGACAAATTCCTGAAAAAATTCCTGAATATATGAAACCGACACAGTGTCATATGAAAAAATCATTGAGATCCCTTCAATCGCAATGCTATAAAGACATTGCAGAAAATATCATCAGGAAAATCAAAGAACTTCAACCAAAAGAAGAATATATAATTCCAACTGGTTGGCGTGGTCATGCCGTTTGTATTATATTTAGACGAATCGATAACACTCTTATCAGTATTCGTGTTGATAATCCTAGTCCGTACAATCCACCAAAGGCGCACAAAATTATTAAATTAATTGAACCAGATGTCTATCAAATTCAATCAAAAGTGTTGGGTCTATTAGATATTGCAAATTTAGATAAAAATGTCGATTATTTCATATTACTAATTAAGAGCATGAAACGAGATTTAGATGCAAGTACAGGCATTCGTCTTCTTTATAATTCTGATCATAAGATAAAAGATCTCGATGAAAGAGATGATGAAGAAGCACCGATAATTATTGAACAAGCATCTACCAATTGTGTAGTGAAATGTTTCGAACCAGGTTTACGAATACGTTGTGGTAAACAATATGAACAACTTTGTGAAACATTATTTAGGCAAGAAAAAATAACAATTATTGAATTGATAGATAGAGGCAAAAAATACTGGGAAGATTGTGTTAATAATTTACCGGATCGATTTAATCTGTTTAGAGACATAGATAGGATAAAAATTTTGCCGATAGCACATAATTTTTCTCTTGATGAGAGATTAAAATCGAGCTATAAACGATGTTACCAACATATTTCAAATATTATTAATGAAGAATCTTCACATAGATTAGAAGAAACATTCATTGATCTAAGTTTTAAAAAAGAAGAAACACTCATACGATTTGAAGATCTCTTTAGTAAATCTCGTATACTTATACTTGGAGAAGCAGGTTCTGGTAAAACAACAATATGTCAATATGCAGCATATTCTTGGGCTTGTGGAACTTTATGGCAAAATCAATTCGATTGGTTATTCTATATAAAAATGCGCAATTTAAATGAAAATATCTATCCATCGAGACAAGAAAACTATTCATTGATAGATGTTATTATTAAGGAATGTTACAAGGAATCCACATTTATCGAAATCAATCGACGTAAACTAGAATTTCAGATTACACAATCATCAAAGATTCTTTGGATTTTAGACGGATGTGATGAACGAAATATTCCATCTTATTTAAGTACGATCGAACAAGAACTATTAAGTAAGTCAAATCTTCTTCTAACATCAAGACCATATGGAACACATAATTGTCACTATGATATGAAAGTTAACATACAACGTTTTACAGATGATGATGTTAAAGCTTACATTCAAAAATACTTTTATCTTAAACCTACTACGGCCGAACAATGTCAAAAATTTGTATTTAATTCAGATCAGTTACAGAAAGTAGCACACATTCCTGTATGTCTTCAATTGATTTGTATTTTGTGGAACAGTAACCAGATAAAAGAATTGGATACTATAAAAAAAGCAGGGCAGCTCTATGAGAAAATATATGAATATCTTTTACGAAGATATCTATTGAAATTTCATGATTTATGTACATCTGCTTTTGCAAGTAAAAGTGTCTTCGAGCATCCAAATGCAAAAGCATTTGAACTTTTAGAGTATTTAGCTTTCATAGCTGCACAATCAAACACATTTGCTATTAGTGGGGAACAAATTTCGAATATAACAGGTCCATTATTTATGGATGTACTTCAAAGTGGTCTTCTCAAACAGAAGGCAAAAGATCATATTCCTGTATTTACTGAGAATGTTTACTATTTTATTCATCGTAGTTTTCAAGAATATCTTTGTGCTCGTTATATGAGACGTGAATTAACATCGACCTGTGTAGAAAAACAAAAGAAAGTAATTACATTTATTAGCGACCACAAATATTTTCGTTGGATGCGACAAATATTTCAATTCTTCTTCGATTTGGACCGATCCAATACTACCATGAAAGAATTCTGGTCTGCTATTGATTGCGAACCACGTGATTTAATTGGACTTCGACATTTTTCTCGTATGATGCAATGGTTTCTTGATGGAACTTGTGAACTTGCAAGTGAAGATAAGACAAACCTTGATAGAAGAACCATTGATATTATCAAAAGATGGATATCGAATAAAGATCGTCAACCTCATGATTCTGCTAATATTTATCTATTCGACTGGTCGATTGATGTGATTAGTGAGCAGATTTGGTTGGATGCATTCAAAGAAGATCTCTTTATTGAGAATCCATCAAAACGACGTTATTTCATGCCTGAATTATGGTCTGAAACAAATATTGATGAACTTAGAAATGTCTATAGACAAATCCCAAAAAATGTACACGAAATATATGCTTTAATTAAGAATGGTCCTATTGAGCGTGGTCTTATATCTTTAAAGATAGATATCGATAGATTTCCTCCACCGATTTTTCCAAAACAGAAACATATGCCGAACGGGTTACAGGAAGTTTATGAGAAAGCCAAACGAAACGAAGCAATTATAACATTAGAAGAATTTCAGATAGTTTTACATAATTATTCTTCCTATGCTGAATTAAATCGTCGAGCAACTATACTTGATATACATACATGGCCACTCAAGATCGATCCATCTGCTCTAATCGATATTAGTAAAAAAACATTAGAACTTATTTTAGAATTATCTCAAAAGAATTCATTATTTTATCGTGATTTCAACTTGCCGATTATTTCTTTTCTTCGACTCTATGAAAAATCAAATGATGATGATGACACTCTTTGTTCACTAATTGTATCGATCGCACTTAATAGTACTTGTATTGTTACGGCATCACCTAAACGACAAACTTCAGTTCGTGTTTACGAGCATGAGAAGTTTGTTGATATCGACCTGGATGATATCCGTCGATTAAAATTACTAATAGAGTTCGATAGAATTCGAGAGATTTATGGTTATTCATTTGATTGTTAAGAAATAAAACTAAATTTTCATCTAAGATTTCTATTACGTAGCTTTCATTTACACATACGGTATGGCTTCTATATGGACGTGGATGGGGTGTGGGGTGTGGGTGTGGTGAAGATCCACATCCACACCCCACACCCATCCCACACCCACACCCCACACCCACACTAACCCACACCATTAATGTATTCGTTTTATTTGAATTTTTTTAAAGTCTATTGTTCTCACATCCTATGGGTGAATTATGTTTGTTCTACATGTTGATTTTTTGTCAAAAAATACAGTTTTTCATAGGAAATTATCTGTACAAATACCTTATTATTTTTTGATCATTTTTCAAAACCTATTAAATCAACATACAGTTTTTTTAGGTCACAGTTACTTTTCACGCTGTCGTCGGATGAGCTAGCAAATCAGACCACTAATTTGAGATCTGTTCAACAAAAGTGGTATAAATCTCGGGGAATCATCATATTCGTGAAAATGAATTGATGAACTTGCTTGTCCATGAAAATACTTTCGAATAATGTTTCATGATGTTGACGCACAAGAAGTGGTCCGTCACATAAATCACAGTCTGAGTAGGTGAAAAGAAATCCTCTGCCTATTCAATGAAAAATTGCGTGCTGGTTTTTCAATTACAGCGATGTATTATACTTGATTTTTAAATATGAGAATCCTTTCGTCATTTCACGTCTAATGAAAAAACCAATTCTGCCTATGACATATATATGTAATTCACATTTCGATCCCTTGTCACACGCATCCTTGGCTTCTTAATGTATATGTGAGTTTGATTGTTTTGCCATGTACAGTACTTGAGCTGTAAAAAAAATAAACTTCTCATACTCTACCATACCGTATGTTTTAATCAATTACTTAAAAACTGTAATTTTTGCCTTTGTATCTCATCGGTTTTTGCACTGGCATCCGATGTTTAAAAAATAGATGAGTCAAGAAAGATTATCTCATGCACTGCGTACTGTTCATGATATTTTAATTGAAAAGAAAGCGAAACAAAAATAAGTGGTGTTGCGATCAAATTTCCTTCTTATCTGAATGATGATTGAGATGCATTGAAAGATGTTTTGTGCGTACGTAGGTAGGATAAGCTATTTAACACCATAAAAGTGTTAGAAAACGTCATTTGTAATATTTTCACTGTATAAATTACAACTTTCCCTTCTTCTCTATACTAGTAGCGATCGCAATCGATACTCAAAAAGCATTAGTCTCTAGTTCGAGTCACCGAACAATTTCAGAAAATGTGTACTGTCTTATATCTTACATTGATTTTAACGACAGGTAATGTTGAGGATATGCCGAATTCTCCACAAATAGAATTGAAGAATTTTGTTTTATGTGTTCGCATTATTATCACTCTACGTAGGGCAAATCAGATTTCAACAAATAATTCTTACGGCTGTAGCAACAACAACGGATACAGCTTCCAATGAATTAGTCAAGTCTCGAATAGAAAATGGTCGTTTCATTAATTCATTCAATCCCCAATATAAATTGCCCCATCTAGGCCTGGTTTTTATTTGGAAGATCACTTCACAGGATAATACACAATTGCCGTCTAATAAAAAAGAACTTGATAAAATGTTACCCGTTATTCGACATGAGAAATCTGAAGAACTATATCTAACAAAACTCGGTCTAAGATTTATCTGGATTGGACATGCTTCGTGTTTTGTTCAAATGAACAATTTTCGATTTCTTGTCGACCCAATTTTCAGGTAGATACTTATTCTCTCTCTCTTGTTCTTTTGAAAAAATTGAATGATTTTAGTGAACGATGTGGTATAGCATCATTTATCGGACCGAAACGTTTCCGTCCACCGGCATTAATAATAAATGATTTACCCGATGATCTCGATGCTATACTTATTTCACATAATCATTTTGATCATCTCGATTATTCTAGTGTAAAACAATTAAATAAACGTTATGGTGAACGACTAACTTGGTTCTGTGGTCGAGGTACTCGACAATGGTTTCTTGATAATCATGTAAAAAATGTTGTTGAACTCGATTGGTGGGAAAAGTATCATTTTTCGGTAAGCAAATATTCATTCTGAAAACTTCTTTTCGTGATATATAGATATCTTTGATTTTTGTTTTAGAAAAAAGAAGTAAACATTGCATTTTGTCCAGCTCAACACTGGTAATGTTCAATGGTTTTTTTTCTTATTGTGTACTCAAAAAGTGAGTACACTCTAGAATCGGTCAGTGTGTCTGGCCGTTTACACGATAACTTTTGAAAGCAGAGTCCGATCGCGATGAAATTTTCTACACAGTTTAGTCTAAACAATATCTCGGTCGAGTTCGAACGTGAGAAGGATTGGCCGAGCCGTTCCTGAGTTATTGCAAAAATAGTCATTATTCCCTATGCCTTCCTATCCGAAAATCGACCTATCCCCACTTTCGTAAGAAACTTTTCCTATCATAGTCAAATAAAACCCCAACTATTATATGCCATTAGATAGAGAATTTCACGAGCTACAAAATAGTGTATAAAACATAAAGAAACAAGAAGGCTAACTCACCTATTGCAAAGATAATTAAACGGAAATTGGTTCTGTTTGTGTCCA